GTCTAAATCCATTTCACCATGATCTTCTTGAGTTTCGTTTAAAATATGTGAATTTCGTGTTAAATTTGCAAGGTATAATACTGAATTGATATTTGCATAAGGATTAAGTGGTTCAGCATCAGATAACGATGAAGTATCAGATCGAGTTGAAATGCGAAGTGGATATTGTTTATATGCAGGTAATTGTGTCGAATATTGTTGTGATTTTTGTTGTTGTTGTTTTTGATGATTTATTGCGAAAAAATTATCGGTAGTATCAGTATAAGAGGAATAAGATGAAGGTGTTACTGGTGATGGTTCTGAACTTGAGTTTTGATACATGGAGTCTCTAAGAAAATTTAAAATGAATTATATAAGGGTAAAGTTAAAGAGTAGAATCGATGAGTTTCGCAAACTCTAGAATTTCGAATTTTAAAAAATTTAGTGTCCTTTATCAATTGTACTGCTATCGCTACATTTCTAATATATTCAATTATATAATCATTTTATCATTATCAATTATCAAAACACAGTTAAATTTCAATCCAAAAATATATCATTATCATTATGTTAACATTATCAAAACAAATAACTCAGTGAATGAAAGCTTATTTTGATGCTCGAAATTTTTGATCGATGATCGAATAATTAGTCATCGATTCCAATCTCTAGGTAAAGATTCTTTTTTAAATATGTAAATGTATTAGAAATAAAATATCTTTTATCATTATTCTAACAATAATATAATTAAAAATGTAACAACACTATAGGAATAAATATTACTTGCAATTTTTAAAAACATTACATTCAATCCGAGTAATCTATATTCGACATAAACAAGATACAACAAGGTTTACTAACCTTGAAGCATCTTGGTCCAAATTCAACCTCATTTTCTTCATTTTCTTCAAATTTTTTTCCATTGATAATACATTCATTTCTTCATTATTTTTTCTGACAATGAATTCTTCACCTCCGTAACCTCCAAAATATTCAATATTCTCGCCTTGTTCATCGGACATAAATGACCTTTTTAAACCACGCAGCATTTTGGTGAAATTCAGAAGTTCTAATATTATTAAAGTTTATTTATATAATTAGTTATTATTAATGAATTCCTTTCATTTATTTTGACTTTCCTATTAGTGAGCAGAAAATTTGAGAAGTGCAATATATGTACATATACTACAGTTGACACCAAGTAAAAATGCGGGGCGAGTTAACATTACCACTGAAAAAACCAACGTAACGTATCGGCTTTATGTTTATATACGAAAAAATGAAACAACTCCTCAAAAAACGCAGTAAGTAATAACTCGATTTTCATTGGTTAATTTATGGAAAGGTCGGAGAATTCCTCAAAAGCTTCCGGATTATTACCGTTTTTATTAAACCTGCATGGGTCTAACAAATCAGTCTATAATGTTCGATCATAATCACAAGTTAAAATCACAAGTTGATATACATGTAAACATTCATTTAATTTTGGCGGTATTCTCTAATCAAATTACAGTGAAAATTTTTTTGATTTTTAATTCAACGGATATATAAAAAGATTCATCGAATTTGATTAGGTGGTAGTCGAAAAAACATCGCTCAAAGTTTAGAACAAATCTGTCTCGTTTATAAATAAGCTGTTTTTTTAAATCTTTTAAAACTTTGTATCGCAGCCCTCGCTGACTACGAATGTATCTGCTGGCGAAATAAGTCAACTCAACACAAAGTATTTATTTTTGTCGAAAGCGAAAGGTAAACTTTATATTTCTCAAGATCCTTATATCATATACAGAGAATTTGACTCTAATTCTGTAATTACATCATAAGTTTGTCTTCTACGATATTTGATTTTCATAATTACATCATAATTTATCTTATTAATAATTCGATCATATGGTATTTGTTAATTGATGGTTAATTACCCCGATCGACCCGACCCGGGTGATCGGAGATATACGAACCTCCCATAAGTTTTTGTAATCCGTCGTAAAATCCTTTCTCAACTGAACTTCTCTACTGTTATTCACCGCACAACATATCTCAAAACCCAACTTTTGTCGTGTAGCCGATCTTGACCGTGACATTTTGAGCGAAGCTTTCTCGACAACCAACTAATCAAGTTTTTAATTCTGCGGATGCATAGAATTGAAATAAAAAAATTTATTAAGTTTGTTCAGGTGGTTTGTCGAGAAAATATCACTCAAAGTTTAGAACAAATCCGTTCCGTCTATCAATAACTAAATTTTTTGAACAAAGTTTTTTTGACAATCACCTGACCAAATTCGATGAATTTTTTTTATACATCCATATAATTAAAATAAAAATACCCCGTGATCGGGTATTTTCTTGATAACCATCTAACCAAATTAAAGAATTTTTATTTATTTATTCAATTTTATACATCTGTAGGATTTAAGAAAACTTTGTTAAAAAAAATCAATCATTTGCACGTATATAATGTACGCAGCAAAATTATTGGACATGTCCATAATCGAGTACATGGACAAATGCTGAAATGTCCAATAAAATTTATTACAGTAGCACGGACATGTCCACGAAAGATCAGCAAGAAATCTTATTGGCTAAAAAAAATTTTTGCTATGAAAAAAATTTTCATTACAAAAAGACTATTCGTTGACAGCTCCCCTTGCATAGAATTTATGCTTATTGCAATTTTACGATATAGATTTGAAGTTCGAAAGTATATATCATCTTTATTATTATACTGTATTCTTGGACAAGGAATTACCTTGAACATTATTTTTGTTTGTCTGGACACGAACTGTTCAAATCCATATCCATTGACAACATTGCGTACGTACGTACGTACTGTGCACTGAAAAAAAAATGTATCGACTTTTTTTTTTCTGCCGATTTGTAATTATTTATAGCGATTATGATTGCTTGATACGTTAAATTATTGTTACTATTAATAAATTTTGCATTTTTGTCCATGATCGTAAGTGGATATATACACAAAAATGGTATACAACAAAAAATCAGTGTTTAGAAAATCTTTACGTAGTACGTATTTTTAGAAAACTACGTATATTATTTTTTTTTTTTATACATTAATTTTAATTAGTATATAGGAAAAAATATTGATCGATAAAAAGAGTACTGGAATAAAGAAAATACAATCGACAAATATTATGTAAATATTCTATTTTTCGACCTAACTTAACGTTATTACTGTATTAAGTTTATACAGTACGAATAAAAAAGATTAATTGATAACGATAAAGTACGTATAATATTTAAAAATTTTAAAGTTAGAATATATTATGTAAGTATGGTAACAGATTTATTCGCTTAATTACTTTTTAATCACAACGAAACACTTCCTTTCTAAAAAAGAAACATATATATATATTAAAAAGATAAATAAATAAGATAATTAAATTATTCTTTTTAAAATAATCGATATTATATTAAAAAAAAACACTTACTGGTATATGTTTAACATGTTCAATAACAAAGCTCAAGTTAAATTTATTATAATCCGAACTTCTTAGGCCGTTAGTAATTGATCCTATATATTTATCACATCCGGGTAAAAATCGTAAAATTACT